AAAAGGCTGGTCATAAGTGGTATGTAATTTATAGGCAATAAAGTCATATAAGTTCAATAATTTGATATACTTTACAATGCAGTATTTATTTGTCGATATCTCGGTGCTGTTTTGTTCCGATGCTCATTTTTTTTTTTTCTTGCGCTTCTAAGATGTTTAGCTGTCCAACTGAGTTTATCAATTATTTTACCTTCTTTACAGCTTGTCGACCTCTTCCACTGATTCCCTGGTATGCTGAATTAGCAAAAATTAAAATGAAGAAAGTCAAGTGATAGCTTTCAAAAGTAAATACACAGTCAACTGTTCCTGAATTATATACATTCAATTGTTGAAGTAGCTTAAAAACTTTATCCGCTTTAAACTTGGAACAGTAACAATCTTTGAACAGTCGAATATGAGCACATTAGTGGCACCGTATTAACAACAGCTGTTTAAGTCTACTTACACTATTTGATACGATTATTTAGCCTACAACTGGTCAATGAATTCTTTGATAAACGATAAAACTTACCAACACATTTTGGTGAACATTCTGGAAGGAATAAACTAGCTCCAATCCTTTCGTACTCACAACCCCACCAACCGGCTTCTACTCCACAATTGTCTAGGAACGGTTTCTCATAGCAAGCAGTCAGTTGATCCAAGAAACTATAATATGATATTACTGGTACAGTATAAGTAAATGAGCAACAATAATTAGTTGGTAAGTAAAGTTTATAAAGAGATAACAAAGACCCAAATTGAGCCATAATTTGTCAATTAATTAGACAATAGATCACTGTACTAGTAAAGAATAAACTGTGCAACTGATTAAAGCTCATTCTATGCTAATTTTAGCTTCTAGTTATTTATTTCTACAAAGACAGCTCTACAGGTAAAGTATCAGCATAAAAAATTAGCCTTTATCGTTTTAGCTGATCATTACTACAGTTTATAAAACTTTAATAAATGAAACCAAAATACAGCTACTAAAAAGAACTTAGTGTTCTGTTGAAAAATTTTGCTGATTAAGAATTGTGTTTGTCATTACATTTAACTGTTCTGAACAGTTGATTGATCAAAATCAACTTTTGATTAGAATCAGAACTAAGTAGAAAAAATTATCGAAAAAGTTAAGGCTATCTGATTAAACATAAATTTAATGCTTTTTAAGACCAAATTTTTCATGAGTTCTAGCAAAAATTTTCTTATAAACCTAATACAAAGATTTAAAATTAAAGATTTTGCACTTTAAAATAGGCAAAATTGATCAACAGCTAAATGTTTGAACAGAAATGACAGAAAATAAACATTTTTTCATTATTAACCTGTAACTCAACTTCAGCATTTTAAATTTCGTAAACTCAGCTAGATTTTATGTGCAAAAAGTTAGTTTTTATGCTGTCTGAGGATAAGATGTAACTGGATTTGCATTGTAAGAAAAGCTGGTGACAAGACTGAAACTTAGTATAACTTTTGAATGAAGACAGTTGAAAGTTTTAATTACACAGTCACAGCGATGACTCAACAGTAGAATTTAGAGTAAAACAACAAAAATCACTTACAGGCATTTTGCATCTGGACTGTTTTGAATATTGATGTAAAATTCATCACGACATCTTTTCAACACTGTTGAATTTGTTCCCAAAATTCCCGACATACAAGTGTCATAAGTGACAAATGCTGAAAACAAAAAAAAAAATTCTTATGTTAAGAAATAACATGTGATTGTCTAAATCGCACTTTTAGTTAAGCTTAAATCTACAGAAAAAAAAATAGGTTGCATGATTAACTCAGATTATGCGGCACAATTTACCACAACAAAAAATAAACGTTTTCAAAATTTTTTTCTTATATTTTTTTGCAGTATTTTACTCTGAATCTATAACATTTTTATTAAAACTAAATCTATCAGAAGAAAGAAACGTTTTTCTTAATATCGCTACACTCAATGTGTTAACAGTTAATTAATGCCTTTGATATAACAAAACTTAGAATGTACTAAAAAAGAAATTTTTAGCACAGAAAGTGATAAAAAATTTTTTGAAGATAAAGATCAAAGAGTTGGATCTAGTATGTAGTTAGGCATAAAAATGCTAATTACTGTCAAGTCCTGCTCCACAAGCAAAGTTATACTGGGCAAATATTGTTGCATACAACTCGGCTTTAGTATACGGTTTTCCATTGATGATCAACCAACGAGCACTGGTACATGTTCTGAACGTTCTGCCAAGGCACGTCTTGAAGTTGTAAAATTCTCTGTAAATCATCTTCAGTTAGACTCTTTGTTCCAAAATAAATATGCAAAAATACTTATTCTACTAGTTTTTTAAAAGCTTTCGGCGGTTCAAGTTTTGAGCATTTAAAAGGAGTATAAATGAAATAGCAACTTGCAATAATTTGTTGCATGCTAAGTAAATTTTTAGGTGAAAAATCAAGTTTACCCAACTATTTTACAAATTTGTATTTTGACAAAGAAAATGATTATATGATTTGATCTGTACTTTTTTCCTAACTGAAAGAAATAGAACAAATGACTGAACAATAATGGTATTCAAAGCAGATAAAAGTATTAGTATTACTTACGAACAAACTTTAAAGATTTCATCAACACTGGCACTGGAATACAGTGCTTCTATTGCATATCGCATACAATCAGGATCATCATAAATTGCAGCACTATCTGAAGTATTATGAAAGATACAAAGCTGTGGCTAAAGTTACTGCCTTAATGCTTGAAAAAAACCCAGCCGAGAAGAGCGCTTACTGCATTTACTGTCAATTCCAAGTGCCTGGCGAAAACTTCTATCGCAACATCCAAGTAAAGATGAAGTACAGTTTGTTCCTGTCGGCTTATTACCACAGTCGTAAACTGATTCTGATTCGGATAGAACTGAAACAAGTTTGGATCTATAATCTCTCAATAACCTGCCAAAACAGCTTTAGATGTTTTTTATTTTCTAACTTATATGTGTAAGAATTCAAACCTTTCGCTTCTTTTCTAAATTTAAAGTCTCATAAATTAAAAATGCTTTAGAAAAGTGTTCTCTATGTTCTCTACGCAGAAATTCTTTGCATTCGGTAAAAAAGTGCTTAGAAAACAATGAGAAAATTTGTCGAAGTCAATTTTTTTTTGGCATAATTTTACAATTTTGGATTACCAAGAAAAGAAAAAAAAAGTTTAAGTTATGGTTTACCAACAGTAAGAAAATAGTACCAAAAGTAATGGAAGAAAGAAGAACCACAATTTGGAGGATCATTGCTGCGTTACAATTTTTCTTCTGATCGACCAAGCCTGAAGCCTCTGATATCAGCAAATATTTAGAACTCTTGCCTCGGCTTCAAAATACACTTTTTTGATCACCTGATTTTGACAGTACTTAAGGCATTTTTGACAAAACAGTTTTAGGAAGTTACGTAAAATATCAGTGATAGAATCTAATGTGAAGCTAATTAACCATTATCAACACTTATTTCTTTTTTCATGTATAAACGAAGATAAAGTGATAGTTTTTTCATAACAGTGTAATCGCTGTTCGTATATTCTTCAATTTAAAAACTGTTATTTTAAAAGCAAAAAGCTCTTTTTCAAATGCTTCCCAGAAACTTTCAGTTTTTTGTGCACAGAGATTAATTGTTAAATATCTGTTTATCTGTAAAGTTTACGACAGTTGAAGAACAAATCTGTAAAATTTGTTTTTTTTTTCCTTGTTAACTAACTAAAGGTTTATAAAAGTTCAATAGTGGAGAATGCTAAACGACAATAATTTAAGAAATATTATTATTAACAGGCCAAAAAGTGAAGATTGAACTGCATCTATTAGCAGTGTGTATTTATAATCTTCTGTTTTCTTTTTTTTTTTTT